TTGAATTCTAACTCTATCATCGTAACTAATTTTATTTTTTTAGGCATTTCAGTAAATATGTACCGTTATTATAAGATTGGTAACTTTTTACTGAATGTTATTTGCACTTTCACTTTAAAATTGTAAATGCGAAAATATTTTATGAATTTCTTAAAAATTTCAATTTTTATGTTTAGCTTACCCAGAGTGCTAGGCCTTTGAATATTACACACTCTATTCGATTAATCAACAGTTAAACACCCATGTAAGACATTTACAAAAAGAAGTGGTAACTTTGATAGCCACATTTGAGAATACTTGTATTTTAGTGGGGTGCCTAATACTTTTGGCCAAGGCTGTCTGTATGTAGATCTCACTAACTTTTAAGCCCGTAAAATGTCACGAATGTTGTTCGTTTTAATATACAAACATATTTTGTTCGTTAAGTATATCAAATTATATTCAAACAAATTTTTCTTCACACTCAACCGTTATCAACCTCGAAAATGTAACTGAATTTCATAATTGCTTAAGCTCCACTTGAGCACGAGCTTATGAACTTAAATAGTTATGCTTCTTGAAAATAAGTACTGAAAATTTACATAAAACAATAACAACTTCTATCAATTTATTTTTATTTCCGCAGCAGTCAAATCCATTTTTTGTAAAAAATATTTGAATTAATTTATTTCATTTTATTATGAATCGTTTCGTGTGGAAATTATTAAAGAATATTGATTTGCGTCTCTATGTACGCCGTTATAATTGCTTTAATGTTCAGGTATGTGTATATAATGTCGATAATTAAAGTAATAATAAAAAATCGCCGAGAAAAGTGGAAAACTAGGACTTCCAGCCCGACCATGAACCAGACAGAACAAGCTCCCAAAGACGACAGCGCAAACCAATATTCACATGTTGTCAACTTTAAACTTCTTCTAAGAATCCAAACTATTGATCACATTGGATTCCAGCATACAAATTGAACGAAGAAATAGGGGAAAAAACGCTCTGAACTGACTAATCGCAAATGCCCTATGTTTCATCGTGAGAGCACCTGATCTCAAACTTTTTTGATAACACGTCGGTGCTCACTAGAGCGCGAAATCTAGAGCTTGCTAAAAAATTTTATTGAAACTGTTTTTTTTGCTTGGTGAAACCAAGATCTTTCGATTTTAAAAACGCTGACGTTTTGTCTGTTACGGATAAGTGTTTTTCTAAATTCCATCGAAACTTTACGAATCTAAAACAAATTGTCGTTCTATTAGTACTAAAATCAGTTCGTTGTTAGTTCGTATAGAGAGTGTGCGAAGCAGCGATCTGCTTTCCATAAGCCTCCACCTTTCTTTGACTGCACTGAACGACTAACACCTCAAAGCACAGCCTAAATCGAGGACTTGAAACTTTATGGCGTGTTCTATGTATAACGCAGTCATTCGGGCTGTGGGGAGCAATGTGGTTTTCAAGCTGCCGCAGCTGGTTCGAGTAACCTCCATCCCAGAGGCCCAGTTTTCTACCACTTTTTGCAGCATTTACTGCCGTATGCACGATATTAAAGGCTTCGCCACAGTCCCAACTCGCGAGGTAATGCGCTCACCAATAGTTTCCTTCAATAAATTGACTATTGGGTTGGCGGCATGACATTTAGCGCTCTTCTTGTCGGAACCATAGGTCGTACACATTAACCTCTTACAATTTAGGCACGAAAAAGTGATTAATCATCGCTCAATAGTCTTCCCAACTGACTGTAATATTACAACCGTCTTCATTTTTTAGGAAATATGGACCAATGATTCCCTATGCCCATGGAGCATACCAAACAGCGACTATCTGACAACGTGTCGGCGTCCCAACAATGGATTGTGGCCTATAATCACTTCAAATGTGTAAATTTTCTTCAGAAATTGTAAACCAAGATCAAGACAAAATCATCCACAAAGTGTATAGGCACAGATCCTGCGCGATGGCGGATGGCCTTGGCCGGTTCTTCTTCGATGGTCTACTTCACAGTAGCAATAGCGTCTTGAGTGCACACTGTACGGTGCCCCTGAGCATGCGCATTATCCACTAAAGTAAACATGGGGCAATCCAATAACGAAGTTTTTACATGAAATCACTTTTCAAATTCGAAAATCGCATTGAATTGGCCCACTTAGAAAAAATACTTTTTTCAGGAAAACAACAAGTGACTGATCTATTGGGAAAAATCGTATGCACAGTTCGATCCACTTACTTGTCTGAAAGTGGACCTGGGGCTGAATGACCCTAAATTCCTACACTATAACAGATATATTGAAAGACTACGCCTTGTAAATGAAAAAATGTTACAAAATAATTTATATTGTATACGAGTATATAAATGAGTATATAAATCGTCATTTTGTAAAGATCCGCTTTTCTCTAAAAGTTTCCGACCACATGGCTTGATATCTGGTGTAGTAAAAAGAAAACCATTATTATTGCAATTTTTTCTTTTCGTATCCAGCCTTATTCAAAAGGTTTCCAAATAGTTCTTTGCATAATCTTTAGCTCCTGGGCAATTGAAAAAGGGCTTATGTACATGACGGTCGGACTCGACAATGTTTATGATTTTATCGACATTTTCAACGATTGACCTTCCGGTGCGTGGTGCATCTTTGACAACATTACCGGAATGAAACCGAAATTGTGCATAATTGACTACTGTAACAGTATCAGGGCCATAAACGCTATTCACATTTTCAGCCGGGTGGCTTGCGTTTTCGCCCTTTTCGAGGAAAGACCGTAAAATATAACGTTTTTTCTCTTTTTCCCAGTGTCCACTTTTGATCCACGCTCAAACAAAACTGAATCAACCAATCACAAAACTGTCAGAAAAGCTTTTTTAGTACGAAATGTCATTTTTCTAACACCATTTAGCGGAACCCAATCGGACTTATACAAGAGATACAGATAAATACCGCCATCTATTGGAAAAATAATGGATTAATTTTTACTACAGCTAGTTTTCAGATTATTTCCATGCTTCCTGGGAAAGTTTATTCGAAAAAAAAAAATGTCAGGAAGTAGATAACAGACAGTTTTTATTCATGGACCAGTTTACTGGAAATTCGGGACTTAGAATTCGTGCTTACATTAGCAGGAAAACAGCTCTTCGCTCTAGTCGTACCAATAATTCTCTTTGTTTGACATTTTTTTCTGGAAGAGAATCGTTTTTTTTTTATAATGAGTAGTTGGTTATAACGGCAGCCGCGGTAGCCGAGTGGTTAGCATTGCGTACTGCCATTCGGAAGGCTCTGGTTCAAATCCTGGTGTCGCACTAACATCCAAAAAGTTATAAAAAATTAAATTAATTTAAATAAAAAAAATTCTAATACCGTTTGCCTCTTGGCAGGGAATGTCAACCCTTCCGAGTGTATATCTTATATTAAACTAATCTCCATCAGCTTTTCGGCGGCGTATAAACTGCAGGTCCCTGCATTTCTTCGAAATTGCAGGAGGAACTCGACAGCAAATCACCGAGCTGTATAGTTGGTTACAAGTTTATGCATTCAACTTGAGTGTGAATGAGAATAGAACCGAAAGGAGCGTTTGGCTCACTTCGAGACAGTTACATATATTGGCATTTAAACAGCAAAGAAGTGATCCACACCTGCAAATAAGTAGACTGATCCATCTGCACTTATATAAATATAAAATTGTTAGGTTCGTTTGTAAAGTTCCGAATAGCCTGAAAGATTACCGACCGTTGGTAATTTGTACACAATAATACCGCCTGTCATTCCTCGATCAATATCAGCGGACGAGATGAATGCTCGCCTAAAATAGCCAAAGTGGTGGAGGGACTGTTGTACTCGGTATTAACCAAATATATATGTGTCAACTTGATTCATTGGATGATGTTTTTTCACGCCAATTACTGGAAATGGGGAAATGGTGAAATTCCAATTGATCAGACTGCAGGACGGATTAGATTATCTGACAACTTCTGTAATAGAATACCCTCAATAGAGAAAATGATTCACCGAGTATTGCCAAATTTCCAAAACAATTGTAGGGGTCATGGATGGCTGAGTGAGTGAGCTGAACATCATCGTTGCAAGGAACTGAGTTCTCTACGATGATCTCAACCATACTATTCAATTCAACCTTGAAAGCGAATGCATTAAATATAAGACACAACGATGTCTGTGGGATCAGATAAGGCAATCAAATATACAACAGAATTTTTCCTTTTTCTTTGATTTTAATGTCATGTAATATTAAACAACCGAAACTCGTCAGCGTTGCACGACTGGCAGTCAACAAATTACAGGGGAACGTTGTGTAAGCAATTATACTGACCGTATTTTTGAAAAGTTAAGGCGTCTTCATTTTTTGAATTCCTATTATTGCTTCCGATGCTCCCTTCCAATTCAAGGTCCCTTTTCGACTAGCGTTTGCAATCACTATCAATAAAGCTCAGTATCAATCTATGGAATTATGTGGTCTTCATTTAGTTACGGAGGGCCTCACACATGGGCAACTATTATATGTTGCCTGTGCTAGGGTTGGCAGACCTCAAGACCTTTTTATTTGTGCGGATGATGGTAAAAGCAAAAAATGTTGTATAACCACAGGATTTGCGTAGATAAAATGATGGTTACTTCTTTGAGCATGAAGCCTATCAAAGTGCAGCTATTGTTGTTGTTGTTGTAACCGAAAAAAATGTTGCGGGAGTGACAATCCTTGGCCGCATAAATATCCGGGTCGTTCCGGTATAAAGATCCGACTGTCGCGGTAACTATTGGATTTTGGTCGCCTCTTACGGCAAGCATGCTTTACCGCGGGTAATTTACGGAGCCCCTAACCCACAGGGGTTCAATTTTGATAAAAAATAAAAAGATTTATGAGCTGCAATTCCACAAGTAATCCAAACTAATCCTGCATTGTATTAATTCAAGTAGAAGAAAATATCAATTCTCCAACCGTAAAAACTACAACAGAAATAAAAAGTATAATGTAATTATATTTAACGGTTATAATTTTCTATTTATTTACAGCTATTCATCAATAATGAGTTCGTCGACGCTAAGTCTGGTAAGAAATTTCCCACTTACAATCCAGCAACTGGTAAATTGATAGTCGAAGTAGCCGAAGGTGATAAGGTGAGCGATGAGTGATGAGTGATGAGTGATGGCAAAAGGTGGTTGAACGTATAAGCAAAAATAATAAATAATTAAAATATAATAAATAATTGATTGCAGTCAACCATATTAATAACAAATGTATATATTAACCTGATAACTTTCCATACCTCGCTTATCTTTTCAACAGGCCGATGTTGACTTGGCTGTGGCGGCCGCGAAGCAAGCTTTCCATAGAAACTCGGAATGGCGCAAATTGAGTCCATTGCAACGCACAGATTTGATATTGAAGTAAGTGAGCCGATAAGTTCTTACATTTTCATGGATTTGCTTTTTATTTTTTTCTCTCTCTCTTTTTCCCCCAACTTAGACTCTGCAGTCTCATTGAACGCGACAGAGATGTATTGGCTAGCCTTGAGACACAAGATAATGGCAAGCCATATGCCGAAGCGGATTTCGATGTGGAAGCAGCTATTATGACTTTTAAATACTATGCCGGCTGGACGGATAAGTTCTTTGGTGATACCATACCCGCGGGTGATATTATTGCACAGACACTCAAGGAACCGGTGGGTGTGGTGGGTCAAATCATACCCTGGAATTACCCACTACTCATGTTAACCTGGAAATGGGCACCTGCACTGGCTGTCGGTTGTACGATTGTCATGAAACCAGCCGAGCAGACACCCCTCACCGCTCTGCATATGGCTGCACTCGCCAAGGAAGCTGGCTTCCCCGCTGGTGTTATCAATGTCATAACCGGTTATGGTCCCACTGCTGGTGCGGCGATATCGGAACATCATGACATACAAAAGGTTGTATTCACCGGTTCGGTAGAGATTGGACGCATCATAATGGAAGCAGCTGCGCATTCGAACTTGAAGCGTGTCACGTTGGAATTGGGCGGCAAGAGTCCAGTTGTGGTGTTTGAAGATGCCGATGGTAGGCGCTTGTCTTACTATTAAATATCTTATCTTACTATTTTTCTTTTGAATTTTTTGCAGTTGATGTTGCGGCAGGTATTGCACACGAAGCTCTCTTCTCCAATCACGGTCAAAGTTGTTGTGCTGGCAGCCGTACATATGTACATGAAAAGATTTACGATCAATTCGTTGCTAAGGCAACCGCCTTGGCCAAAGCGCGCAAGGTGGGCAATCCATTTGATGAAACTGTTAAACAAGGACCACAAATAGACGAGGAGATGATGAACAAAGTTTTGGGTTACATTGAAAGTGGCAAACAACAGGGTGCCAAGTTACAGTGTGGCGGCAAGCGTATCGGTAATGTGGGCTATTTCATTGAACCGACCATATTTTCTGATGTCAATGATAAAATGAAGATCGCACAGGAAGAAGTGAGGATTGAAAATAATAAATTTGCTAAATTCTCAGTTAACTCACTTTCCACTCACAGATTTTTGGCCCCGTACAATCAATCTTCAAATTCAGTTCTTTGGAAGAGATCATTGATCGTGCCAATGATGTTGAATATGGTCTGGCCGCTGGCGTTATTACCAATGACATTAACAAGGCAATGAAATTCGTGCGTAATGTAAATGCTGGCTCAGTTTGGATCAATTGTTATGACGCTGTGTTACCACAAACTCCATTCGGTGGCTACAAATTGTCGGGCATTGGACGTGAATTGGGCAAAGATGGTTTGGATAGTTATCTCGAGACAAAAACTGTTGCCATGAAGTACGTCTAAATGTAATCTAATCGGCTGTGCGACACAACTGTGTTTTTTTTTTTAAATAATTTCTATACATATATACAGCATACAGGCATACATACATATGTTATTCGAGCATTATCAATACTAACTCGTATCAATATTGTTTATATACATATATGTACAGTGGTAAAAAATTTTGGAAATTATATTCCTAAAAAATAATAAAATCTACATATTTTGAATACAATACAAAAAAGTGCAGATTGCAAATATCACGAATTGGAAATAATAGGAGCTGATATTCTGTTAAATTATTTTTTAGATTTTTTTCATAATCCCAACTTTCATTCAGGTATTCATTTATTACCTTGCTAGGACCGATATGAATTTTATAGATTTTGAGAACCAGATTGTTCACAACAGCTCTTTTGCTGTTGTAATTGTTGTTGTTGTGATTGCTGTTGTAGTAGTTCACTAGTAGTAGTTCACATGACCAGTCCAAGTCATCGCGGTCACCCAGCTATAGGCCCAGGAAACGAGCTATTTCGACCTCGGCGACTTAGACTGAACAAACTTGTGCCTAAGCGGGGTAAGCGAACCGCTACAACAACAACAACAACAACAAGATATTTCTAGTTTTAGCGGCATACAAATAGGTAGTTTGTGTCGTACGTGGTCTATATGCATACATGTCATACCTAGGGTATGTCGAGGTCAAGTCTGGATAGGTAGAAATTTGGTCGCTCATAGTCGATCTGCAGATTCTACTACCCACAGTATAACTCTGGATTCTCGAGGCAGCTAGAACTCTTCGTCGGCAATGGGTGGTTTGATACCAAGAAGGCAATTCACTGTAAAGAAGATGTGTTAGCGGATTCTCGGTGTCTTATGCTTGTCGGTGAGCTGTCCTGTCAAGCTGTACTTGCAAATGGTGCTGAGTGCAGTTAAGTACTCCCATCATGCTCTCAACGGTTGCATACCAGCAGATATTGCTTGCACAGCATGGCATTGTGCTCGTTAGCTCGTATCATACAAGTTCCGCTATGCAAGTATTGCTCAGGACGGTGTTTTCGCAGGCTGTGGCTTCTTCATCTGCATCGCGCTAGTCAGCGGCATCCAGATCGTAGCAGCATAGTACACGTTCCCTGAGGTAGCACGCCAGTACGCATCTTATTGAGGCTGAACCCCATCCCAGGCACGTCAGAAAAGGCGTACTAGACTTGAAGGACACAATCCAGCAGCACGCCCAACAACCGCTGGACAGGACTGCGTACAGACAGGCACTGAACGCCATTCACCAGGATTCCGTTAATATCTTCAAAGATTCCCTTCCTGTGAGTGACGTACTCGGAGTTAAATCAAGACCCGTAGCAGACGAAAAGCGAGTTGCCTCGATAGATCCGCGTAATACTTGCATACACAAAGTATGCCCTGCATGTAGAGAGTCGAAACACATTAACCAGCTCTATACATGCCCCTGAAACCAACGCATCTAACCACCCTCTCCCTCTGGTCCGAACCCATCGGTACAGCACATTTACTGAAGCTCCCGTTAGATTACCTTGGTGACTTCAATTAATTAGCTCAACCGCTACAACAACCATCACCCGTTGAATTGCCTTGAATCTTGCCAGCGAAGTTACTTCGCCTTCTCTCCAAGTATTGCCTGCTAACGCTTTTAGGATTTTGTTGCTGTTTTGGAGTTCTACGACAATTGTACTCGTATAAGCAGTGGAAGGACTGTATATTGTCGAATGTGTCGGGTTGTTAATAGTCGAAGTTTTTGCGTCATCAACTTTCACATCGAGATCGAGCCAGTGCACATTCGTCCAGCTGGTGCGAAGGATAGCTAAGGATTGACCGTTATTCATAAATATCACCAATATCGAGCAATCATCGGATTTTGAGAATAATGGAATCCTTCGAGTAATGGTTTATTGAGATCAGTCGCTTCTTCTACGTATGAAACCGAATTTTTCAGCTTTCTTTCCGAGTTCGTCGGCAACAGATTTGCCTACTCATATTCTGAAAGCTTATCGAAATTAATTTATCGGAAGGTATGCTCGATTCCGATTATTCCACGAATTTGATATTCTATCTTTCCTTAGTCGATAATTTCATGTCGAAAAAATTCGACGAAGTTATTTGCAGTCATATTTTGAAAAACTCGAGAGCAATCGGTACCAGACGTTTTGCTATTTTCCGGGCGAGCAATTGCCCTCTGAACTTCTGCACAATTGGTCAACAAAACGTCTGTTCAAAGGTCGTTATTAATTGGTTGGTCGAAAAAACTTTTTCCATTCAGTAGACTGGAGAAATGTTCCCTCAATGAATTCAGTATACTCTGGGCATCCGTTAATAGATCACCTCTCTGTGCTCTTCAAGAGAGTTTTGAAACTTTCTGCAAGGCGCCGCATTTTTTCATAGAATTTTACTGCATTACCGCTTTCGGTCAGCTTCATGCTCGCTTCCTTCTTCAACTCTTTGTTTTCTTCCCACACAACGTAGATTGCGCTCGAATGTGATTTTCTCCCTAAGTACGGTCATGCACTATGTAACAGTGGTCAAAAATCAGTAGCCCCTTTTGGTGCTGTGGGTAGGGAGCTCAAAATACCGTCCGTTAGTTTCCTTAGTTCAAATCGATTATGAGTGGTCGCAAAGGATATTAATATTTAATCGGATCTTCACACCAATGGTTCTACTATTTTTCAATTACACCTTCCATGAATATGAAATAACTTAGATCCTAGGAATAGAATCTTGAATCAAAAGGAATGGCTGAGTTAATTTATCCGTGACCGATTGTCAATCTGTTTGAACACGATATAATCGCTCAAATTTTGAGATATCTAAACTGAATTTGACACGCAGATGCACTGGTACATTTGTCGGAGCCTTCCTTACAAAACCAGCTGAGAGCATGAAATTTGGTATTCTCCTCACATATAACGAATTTCATACTGGAACTGAAAATCATCGTAATCGGAAGACTACGCCACAGAGCCAGCATACAACCGATTTGTTCAGATATGAGGTTTAGGGTCAAAACTCCGTCCACATTACATCTGAGAACATTAAAATAGAAATTCACACTTGTAAATTCACATCATTGAAATCGAATTTCGTATTTATGAAAGGTATAAAGACTTCGGCGTGACCAACGCATCGTCATCTCATCTTTCTTAGTTTTATTTTCCACTCGAAGATATTATCATAATAAATAATATTAATTTTTATGTTATAATCAAATATGAACAATACAACCATAATCCAATTGTTTTAGTCTTCTCAAAAAGTTGTATATTCCATCAACGCTCTTTCTCTGAATTTACCAATTTCCCATTGATTTGAGGTTTATCGAAGCGTGAGCACACTGTGAGCTGTTTGTGTTTTTCTGTTGTTGACCGGCAATTGAGTGTATCACATAATACAAATATGTATTTTGGCACGTCATTGTCGCCTATACTACAGTGGTGGACATATGAATATGTACTCGGGTAAGTAGAAATAAATTTGATCAATTTTTATGTACACTTATGGACATAAATATATATGTACATATGTAAGACTGTTTAAAATTGAAAAGTAATTTTTATAGCCTCTTTAACGGATTGTCTCTATAACTTGCACCAAGAGAAACGAAAGAGTTCACATACACACACCATTTGTGTGTATATATACAAATATATATGAAAAAAGTGCTAATCAGCGCAGTCACCTAGTAAAAATTTGTTTATCAGCAAGTAAAGAGAGACTGTGACTGAGTGATTGCCAGTCGCCGTCCTTCAAAAATATCACTCTCTATAAGTGGTACAAGAGCGTAGTGCCGGCCGGCTCTTGCTTATAAAAAGCACCAGCAAATCACAAAAATTTAATAGTTTCATAGCTATATACACGGCTAACAGTATTACGAAATAATTTGTTGGACATCAGCCGGTGCGTTAAGTGAAAAGTCATTTTGGTGTGATTTTTAATCAAAATACAATTATTTTCAAAATATTTAAAACAAATTTAATACATTCACGCAATGACTAATACAAATGTAGTGCCCAAGTATACACAGGTAATAGAAAAAAAACGAAAAATATTTCAGTATTTTGATTATTTGGACTTTTGCTATGGGAAATTCAGATATTCGATGAGTGCAGTGTTTGAAAAGATGATAAATCTAACTTTAAACCGTGTGGTGTATTTAAAATGAATTAAAAAATATTTTGAGTGCAAAAAAACATTAATATATAATATTAATTATTAAAAATGTTTTTAATAATAAATAATAAAAATAATTTTTTCATTATATAATTATCATTCATTGTTAACTAAAAGTAGAAAGCCTCAATGGGAATTTTAATTTTCAATAATAATAATAATAATAATAATAATAATAATAATAATAATAATAATAATAATAATAATAATAATAATAATAATAATAATAATAATAAAAATTATTAAAAGTAATAATAATATTAATAATAACAGAAAAGGCTTCCGAAGCGATTTTTTAAATATTACAAAAAGGAAATATTTTCGAAATAATTCTATTATCCCGTTGAAAAATTTAATTTAAACAAGAAAGAAGATCTGTAGCCGCAGTAGCGGAGAGCTTAGCATTGCATACTGCCGTTCGTAAGGCCCAGGTTCAAATCCTAGTGCCGTAATAAAATCCAAAAAGTTATAGAAAATTAATTTCAATAAAAAATTAAGCTAAATTTTCTAATTACGGTCGCCCCTTGGCAGGGAATGTCAAGCACTCTGAGCGTATTTCTGTAATGTGAAATAAAGACTCTTCATAACAAAAACCATCAGCCGTTCGGAAACGGCTTAGTATAAACTGTAGGCCACATTTGTTGGAAAAAAATAAAGATGCAAAATCCCAAATTGGAGGAGCTCGGTCGAAAATAGCTTCAGCGTTACACGCATTGCGACTTTTCCATCTTGAGTTAGCAACTGTAATAAATAACTCACCTATATTGAGCTTGCAAGTGGAGAGCGGCGTGCTGAAACTCTTCCATGATGGCGAAAGTAGAAGGATAGCGCTGGGAAAGCTCGTCCACCAACCCATTACCCGGTATGTTGCGGTGCTCAGACACCCATGCCAGGTTCAAAGAGAACTGACATGGATATGAACACGGTTTTCTGAGAGCACCATTGAACTGAGAATTAACAGCCCGCTTTTATAGTCACCAATTCTGCCACACTGATCCTCAAAATGAGTCGTATATACATATATTATAGTGATCCCTTCTGTCCGGTTCCAACACATGAACGTTGAAATGTATCAAGTTTGAATAAAAATATTAAAAAGCCTCAATGAACTAGACGTTTTCGAATTTTCAAAAAAAAAAAATTCAAAATTCGAATAACTAAATATTTTCTATATTTGCTATTTTTTTATTATTTTTTTTTTACATATTTATTAAAATAAGATTTTATTTATTTTACATGATTTTTGGATAAACCTAAAAATTATTAAAAATATTGATTCCTTCAAGTGCAAATAATCAATCTAAAAATTTTCTTATCTTTTTACAAAAAAAAAAAAAAAACAAAAAAAAAACAATTTCTAAACACTTATGCTCACATAGATTAGATAGATAGCCGGTATTATTACTATATCTACAAATGCGTGAGTTGGCATAATGAGTTTTAAGTAGAATTAAATAAATTTTAAAGAATTTCACAACATTGTGATTGTTTGGTCTCGAAAATGCTTTATTTTAAAATTGTTTAAATAAATACGCATAAATATTTTTCAATAATTTAGAATTTCATGAAATCCCTTAGCATACGGTTAATGCTGGAACGTAACTTCATTGTCATAGCTGCCGCGGCTGATCTTTCAGTAACCCCCACAGCGCTGTCTATCGTGTCTATCGACTAAATATTTCAACGTATTTTCAACTGAGTGACCCGCTATTTCGGCAATTGCGTTTCCAATTCATTGTTTTGTGTCATGTGACGCCTATGGATGGTCCTGGATAGTCTTCTAAACCAAAAATAAATAGTCCAACGGAGTTAAATCACAGCTTCTAGGCATACTTTTTTCATTCGGTAATTTATTGACAATTTACTTGCGCTTGTGGTTGAAGTGTGTAGTAGTAGGTGAAGTTGGTAGTGTAACTATTTTCTGGTTCCATTCTGGTATGGTCTTCAGAAAGGGCGCCGGTTCGCCTTTAATCTCCTCAATCGACTCAAAACGGTGTCTTCGAAGTGGTCTCTTTAGTTTTTGGAGGAGACAGAAGTCACATGATATCTAAGTCCGGCGAATATAGTGGTTGGGGAACGATATTCGGGGAATTTTTAGCGAAATGGTCACGAAGAATGAGTGCTGTGTGCGACGGCTCATTATCGTGATGCAAAAACCACGAATTGTTCGGCCGTAATTCTAGTCTTTTTTTGCTCAAATAGTCTTTCAAAATCGGTTTTACAGATCTTTATGATATTTCAACTATATCTGTTAGAGAACAGTCAATCGACGATTTTTTAGCCCTTAATTCTTAATTTCCTTGAAGTGTGGCACATCAGTTGACGTTGACGGTCGTACCGAGCGCTCCAAGTCATCAACACGTTGCCGACTCTCTTTGAAGTCTTCGTACCAGTTTTAAATGTTCTTCTGCGACATTGTTGAGCTCCCAAAGCCGTTCAGTAGCATTGTCAACGTTTAAACAGCCGAAAACTCGTTCCGCAAACAATATTTGATCGCACTTCTCTGCTTAATTAAATCAGACATTTTAAAAATCGCCGAAGGCACTTTTAGTCGTAACTAAAATAAAATGAAATTTGGCGTAGATGTCAATAACAGTTCCACCAACATTAAAAAAAATTAACCCGCTATATTAAACGTGCGAAGCTCAAATTAATAATTCACTTTACCTTTTGGCCACAGTAGTATATTGAAATCGCTTTGGCTTAAGCAAAAACCTTAGATAAGCTTTAGTTCTAAAAGCAGATGGGTATATGGTCAACCCTGTAGTAGTCGCCTTTTCAATAGACTTCATATACGTATGTATGTGAAAATTATATTAATATGTGATTTTTATATAAGCTATGTAATCATATAACCATGGTAAGCTCGACCAACATCCGAAATTATAGAAAATTAATTTTTCCAATTGCGGTCGCCTCTGGGCAAAAAATGTCAAGACACCTCCGAATCTAATAAAAATCCGTCTGCCATTCGGAAGCTTCTTAAAATAAATTTCAATTCCTTACATTTGCTGAAAAAACATTTAGATGCATACCATAAATGGAGGAGGCGCTCGGCTGAAAATCGCATGAGATATTATAGATATTACATTTATATTATTAAATATATTCATTGTATAAGTCCCATCGAGTTCCGCTAAATGGTATTGGATAGATGACATTTCGTACTAAAAAAAACTTTTTTGACAGTTTTAAGATTGGTTGATTCAGTTTTGTTTGAGCTTGCGCCAAAGATGGATACTAGGAAAAAGAGAAAATACGCTCTATTTTACAGTTTTGCCGCGATAAGGATGAAAACGCAAGCCACTCGGCTGAAATGTGAATAGTCTTTATGGTCCTGATACTGTTACAGTAGTCAATTATGCACAATTTTGGTTTTATTCCGATAATTTTGTTGCCAAAGATGCTTCACGGAGTGGAAAGTCAAATGTCGATAAAATCATGGGCATTGTCGAGTCCGACCATGATGTACATAAGACCTGTTTCGATTGCCAAAGCCTTCAATTTGATGCAAAAATCATGGATTTCTTTTTACTACACCTAATATTGTATTAATATTATAATTTATATAGATATAGATATGTGAATGCATTCATATCAAATGTATTTCGTTTAAGTCGCTGCGGGAGTTGCTTCTATTTAAACATAAAATTATCAACGCAAAGGTAATATTGTGATTAGCAACGGTTTATTATTCGAAAAATGAGCATGAGTATGTCATTTTCAGTTGGAGTTCACTCAGATTCATTATCTAAATGCCGTTAGACTCTTACATACATACATGCCTTTGATTATCAGCTTGTAAAAAGTTAAATATACAACTTAATGTGGGCATTTCTTTATTTTGTTGTTGAAAAACTGCAAAATCATTGCAGCCACCATAAAATATGCTATCACAATTACAACAAACGATGATTTTTTTTTCAGATTATGCTCCAAATTTACCGAGAGCATAGTCAATTTGTTAGTGCCGTCATTTCGGGCACCGCATTTGTTTTCACTCTTGGCAACACTGTTTATGAGCAACGGGCAAATGAGCAATGTGTTGATGGAGTAGTCCTGAACTGCACTACAAAAAGTCATACGTAAATACATACATATGTATATTTGTAAATATTTCTGCTGATGAAGAATGCTAATTTTTGTTCCTTTAACAACTAAAAATATCATTTCTACTATTAATTCCTATTTTGCCGGTTATGTAGCGGCAGCACTTTTCTAAGGCTTAACGCGATAAAAAATTTAGAGATAAGACTGCAATCTCAGTCATGCTACAAATATGTACATATAATATGTTACGTTATTTCATTAAAAAAAAGAGACAAGTTGAGTGTGTCGCGACATATAATTTTGTAAGTAAAGGGGTTTCCAATAAGACTTGCTACTTTGAGTTGTCTGCTTTTCCGGTAGATGTCGCTTTTGAAGCTGCAATATTTTGACATTTGACAAACTAAAAATTATGCCAATAATAGAAATGGAACGATACACGCTTCAACAACGCATTGAAATTATTAAAATTCACTAAAAATAGTGGTGTAAATCTGGCAGAGACGGTCGTCGTTAAGCAGCTAGTCAAACCGCAATACAGAAATTGGTGGAAAAAATAGAGCTGCTGGGACAAGTTACTGATGTTAAGAGCAAAACACGTGCACATCACTAAAGACCAACTGATGTTGTAGCCTAAAGTGTTGAAGAAGACCCAGGTTTGATTACTCCTTGTCCTCGTTCTTTGGAATTCAACATCTCGCAAACGTCAGTGCCCCGTATTCCGCATAAAGACTTGGGTCTTTAGGCTTATAAAGTTCAATTAACATAAAAACTCACGCCGGCCGATTAACAACAATGCTGTGTCTTTGTTGATTGGGTACTTGAAGTGCCTGAAAATCATAAAAAATTGCATCGAAAAATGATCTTGATTGATGAGACCTATTCCCATCTCGATGGCTGCGATACAATTAGAAAAACTGTCCCATCTGAGGCTGGGAAAACCATTGACTTATTGTCGAAAAACATTTTCACCCTCAAAGTGTAACCGTTTGGTGTGGTTTATGGAGCGCCGGGGTCATTGCAACTTACTTTTTTAGAAAATCAGGAGGTTGGAGCCGCAGTTACGGTGAATAGATTGCGCTATCGAGAGATAATAATAATAAGATAGACACGGCGATGCTACATAACAGACAAACAACAAAACCATCGATCTTTTAAAAGTTTCCGGACCGTGATATCACTTGCAGAGGTGATCGCAATTGGATACTGAGATTTTTTGATTTAATACCTTGCGGCTTTTTCTTTTACTGCCACATGAGAGTTAGGATCTTTGCCAACAGCCCAACGTGGATTCAAGACCTCAGAGATGGAATTCACGAGGCTTTGGAGTGCATACAGCAGCCACTTTGCGATTTGGTAATGGAAAATTTCGTGGCAGGCTTTTGGCTCATATTGTTTGCCAACAAATGGCGGGACCTATAGTTTATACTAAACCGCTTCCAAACGGCTGATGGTTTTTTCCTGAGGAGCTTTTATTTCATGACAGAACTACTCCCAAATGTTTTGACATTTCCAGCCGAGGGGCCACCACAATTAGAAATATTTACCTCATTTTTTATTTAAATTAATTTTCTACATTTTTTGGATGTTGGTCGCACGGTGATTTGAACCAGAGCCTTTCGAATGGCAGTACACAATGCCAACCACTCGGTTGCTTCTAAAAGTCTTATCCTCAAGCACATAATTTAGCTGCTCTGTGGAAACAGCCTACATATACTTACCCGACCTTTAAATTATAACTGCCTTTAAAATGAAGTTACCACCGCTGATTGACAGTAAAATGAATTCTTGAAGACTCTAGATTAATTCAGTCCCTGTAAATAATTTTTTTAATGTCTGGTATACACGCCGGTGAAATAATGGAAACTAAAAAGATAAATTTTTAGTACGCGGTTTTTTCGGAAGTGTAGTTTTCAATGAGGGAACACTTTTTTCGGGGTTGATCCTTTTGCTAACTGTTACTGGATTTATACTAAGTTTGGTTTGCTATTTCATAATGAGCACACTTACTCCAGAATAATGCTTCCAAATCGTGCAAATTTATGACCAAAATAATAGTTTGGTTCGCTGGTGCAATTTTTCGGTCGTCATAATAGCCCAGCAGGACGGTAATTCGAGCAACCATGAAACACTTTCTCACTACGTTAACTCTAGTAGATAATGTGTGAATCCTCAGAGACACTGCTGGGCAACAGAGTAGCAAGAGGACCCCAATGAATTCATTCGCTATCGCGCACAACAATTGAAGCTGTGGAAAATTTTGCGAAAGGATCATCGTTTGCGGGCTTTACAAAATGCAGCTCCGCCGAGGGACCGTTAAGCGCATTACACGTTCGTTGAATTCCCATTAATCCTGATTTTCACAAGAAATTTTGTTCCGCAATAAAGCTCAGTTTTGGTTAATTGGGCGCAGGGGACCATTGGTCCAGATTTCTTAAAAATTGAAGCCGGTCACATGGTGGCAGTCAATGGGGAACACTGTAGAGCCACGATTAATGAATTTTTCTTGCCTGAGTTAGAGACTGTTGATGTGACTGAGGCTTGGTTCCGTCAAGACGGCTCCATACTGCAAAAGATGGTCGAAAATTGTGCCTTTCGGACGGAGCTTTTTCGAACCGATCGAGGCGTTCACTTGCCCAAATTTAAAAATGAATGGCAAAATATATTAAAGAAAAACTAAATTTTTTGACTTTAATTGTATGTGTTTTATATATGCTTGAAAACCATATGTCTAAAAGACACCCTTTATTTGTCGTTAACACCCAAGTTCTTGGACTTGTTTCGAATAAAGAGTTTCAGTTATAGATTTTGGGTTTTTCCAAGGTTTCGCCCTAATGCTTTTAGTAGGAAAATGACTTACCCGGACTGGGTTAATTATGCCCGAGAAGCGAAGAGCATTAAAATTCTTATTATTTTTAAATTTAATATGAATGATATTTGAATTAATTTAATTACCGTTAAATTTAAATTAAATGCACAATTAAACACCACATTTTTGCTTCTCATTTTTTACAGCTTTTCATCAACAATGAATTCGTTGACGCTGTCTCAGGAAAAAAGTTCCCAACAGTCAATCCCGCAACCGGTAAGGTGATCGCCGAAATTGCCGAAGGCGATAAGGTAGGTGTGACGAGCAAACGCTTAATTGGCATACAATTTCAAAGCAAATTGATTTGTCTGATTGAGCCTTTTAATTAACCAAATGACTTCACATGAAATTGATTTCATACTTTCCGCTCATTGCTAATAGGCTGATGTTGATTTGGCTGTGGCTGCCGCGAAGAAAGCATTTCACAGAAACTCCGAATGGCGCAAATTGAGTCCAACACAACGCAGCGAGCTGATGCTGAAGTGAGTGCGAGACAGACTTTCAATATATTGAATATATTTTTTTTTAGTATTTCATTAATAAATCTGCCCTCCTCTCTTTTATCGCGTCACACACAGACTTTGCAGCCTCATGGAGCGTGATAAATTAATCTTGGCCAGCCTTGAGACACAAGATAATGGCAAACCACTGTCGAATTCAATTTTCGCTGTAGCGGCTGCCATTGACGCACTGAAATACTATGCCGGCTGGACCGACAAGTTTACCGGTAATACCATACCAGCTGAGCCCTATGTTGCACAAACACGCAAAGAGCCCATCGGTGTTGTGGGTCAAATCATTCCCTGGAATTATCCCATAAATATGTTGGCCTGGAAATGGGCACCCGCACTTTGTGTTGGCTGCACCATTGTGATGAAACCAGCCGAGCAGACACCACTCACAGCGCTCCATGCGGCTGCGCTCGCTAAGGAAGCTGGCTTCCCTGCTGGCGTTATCAATGTCATAACCGGTTATGGTCCCACTGCTGGTGCGGCGATATCGGAACATCATGACATACAAAAGGTTGCCTTCACCGGTTCTGGTGAAATCGGACGCATCATTATGCAAGCGGCCGCAAAGTCTAACTTGAAACGTGTTACCTTAGAGTTGGGTGGCAAGAGTCCGCTGGTAATTTTCGAAGATGTTGACGGTAGGTTTTAGACAATAATTCATTATCTTAACTAATTTGTAAATGTTTTTCTTCTCTTTCGTCATCTAGTTGATCAGGCCGTCAGTATCGCACACAATGCCGTCTTTCCAAATGCTGGTCAAACATGTTGCGCCGGCACTCGTACCTATGTGCATGAGAAAATCTATGATGAGTTTGTCAAGAAGTCTGTAGCTTTGGCCAAGGCTCGTAAACTGGGCAATCCATTTGATGCAACAGTCGAGCAGGGTCCACAAATCGATGAAGAAATGATGAATAAAGTTTTAGGTTATGTTGATATTGGCGTGAAGCAAGGCGCCAACCTGGCATGCGGTGGTAAACGCTTTGGCAATGAGGGCTATTTCATTGAACCGACTATTTTCACCGAAGTTACTGAAAATATGAGAATCGCACAAGAAGAGGTAAGTAGAAACTTGGAAAATATTCCGTGGTGGAAAATAGTTTAGAGACCAGCTGCTTAGTTCAGGGCAGCTTCAGGGTAGTATTGTATAGTGGCCGTGCTCCTCCTCCAATTTGTGGTATTCATATATGTACATGTACATTGTACAGGGGCCTACAGTTTATACTAAGCCGCCTCCGAACGGCTGATGATTTTTTTATGAGAAGCCTCTATTACACTCGGATTTTTTGAGGTTTGGTCCGAGGCTTGTAAGTACTACAAGGAGATGAGTTAGACCCATCAGAATTTATACGGATAGGATCACAGATGACGGATTGATTTAGCCACGCAAAGTAGTCCCTCAGTTTTTGAGATATTTTAATCATTTGTAGAATAAGCCAGAGTGGTCTACTGTAACATACATAAATTTGACCGATTTTTCTGATTTGACATTTTGGGCCACAAATTTTTCAAAAAAAAAAAAATCTGAGATCTTTAGGTGCTGAAAATTATCAATCTCATCACTATAACCTATAACTTCCAAGCGCACTGGAAGCACTGGATTTGTCAAAAGCTTTTCATTCAGTGCTACTAATGGGCATTGCGGAATCCTTATCACCGCCGAGGTTGCAGAGGTGGGTCATGGACTACCTGAGAGGTCGACTATCATCAAAACCCAGAAAAATTGAACAAGCAAGCATCCCTGCAATAGCATCCCAATAGGCACCTAATAGAACCTGAACCTCAACCTAGGCACTTCAGAAAGAGAGTACTAGATCTGACGTGCAACTATCGCTGGACAGGACGACGTACAGACAAACACTGAACGCCATTCATCAGGAGTCAGTCCACACTTTCAAGGCCTTCCTTCCAGTGAATGACGTGCGCAGAAAACACTACCTATAGCAAACAACTAGCTTGAGCTGTCTCGAGAGACACGCGTGACCTTGCAACAACTCAGATTTGGATACTGTAGCAGGTTAAACTCCTACATATCCAGACTAGACCTGAGCATACCCAACGTATGCCCTACATGTGGAGAGTCTCCACACGACACTAACCACCTCTTCACATGCCCTCTCAAACCATCTTACTAACTAACCCCCCTCTCCCTTAGGTCCAATCCCGTCGAAACCCCGTCGAAACAGCTCGTTTCCTCCATTAGATGACCTCGGCGACTTAGATTGATCAAACCTTTGTCTAAACAAGGTTAGCGAACCGCTACAACAACAACAACAACATAACTTCCATTCATCGATTATTTCATAAACGAGGCTTCGGTCAAAACTACGCCGAAAAAAGCAACTAAGAGTAGGAAATTTAGCATAATATATATATTCGTTTCTATAAATGAAAAAAAAAACTTCCTTATCGGCGTACTAGTATATCATATAGCCCTTAAAACCAATTTTTGGATATGAGAACTAAGATTAAATTTAATCCTCAAATGAAATACAATAAATTTGATGAAAAATCTTTTTCTCTCAACATTTTTTTTTTGTCCTTTTTTTTTTTGTAGATCTTTGGGCCCGTAATGTCAGTCCTGAAATTCAGCTCACTGGAAGAGGTCATTGATCGTGCCAACGACGTTGAATACGGTCTAGCCGCCGGTGTGCTCACCAATGACATCAACAAAGCGACGAAATTCGCCAACAATATAAATGCCGGCTCCGTTTGGATCAACTGTTATACGGCTGTAATGCCACAGACACCATTCGGTGGCTACAAGCAATCAGGCATTGGTCGCGAAATGGGTGCCGCTGGCTTGGAAGGTTATCTGGAGACGAAAACTATCACCTTGAAGTTGAACTAATTGAAACTAAGATCAAAACACATTAATTTTGTTACGTTTTATTTTGTGGTATTTAATATACACATATACATATATTTCCTATTGTAATACACGCACGCACAGTGGTTAAGAGCATTAAAATATTCATATAAAAAAATAATATTTAAAATTAAAAGAAGAATGTGTAAAGGTCAATGGTGCAAGTGGAAGATCAAAACTTCATAAGTAATTCCTTTGATTTGCCTTACATTAAATAAATAAATAGAATAATATCATTTAACTGTAACGGAGATATTGAGGAACGTCTTTAGTGAGTTTGTGCATATACACATACATATACATTTAGTAGCGATTGAGAAAAGCTTGAAGAAAATAATTGTGCAGTATTCCTGAACTGAACAAGATTCCTGAGATAAAAACTGTTTTAATTCGCACGTTTGCCTTATTATTTCTCTCTTCTCTTCGCTCTTTGACCTCCCTGAAGCCTCTAAACTCACTCATCCCAATCATTTTGTGTTGACAAACTAAACTACTCGCTGTTGTGTTGGCGCATATTGCACGAGCACCGAACGCTGCCTGCTCGGATCGAGTAACGGCATTGCTATCTCACTCAAATTCGACTTGGCACTTTGAAAATCCTCCTCCGATTTATTGCGTTCCTGACGTGGCAGTAGAAGTGTGGGTGATTGTGCAGTGTCCAGTAGTACTTCGGTAAATTCGGGTTCTGGCTTACTTAGTCGTCGTGCCAATTTGTTATCGTACAGCGACTGCACGTCCATCAATTGGAAATCGATGGCGAAGAAGTAGCGAAGTAGCATCAGTAGCAAGGCCAAGAGCCAGAGTACTAAGGCGAACATGTAGGTAAAGCGAAAGAGATTCAAGTAAACGTCATGTTTGAATTCGTGTTGTCGTATGAAGGGACGCAGTACGGAGATGGCTTGACCGCAGCTTTGGGTTGGGAAAGAAAGGACATATTGTAGAATAATTGAATTCAAGCAAAAAGACTTCGTTAACTCACGTGATCGCATCGGGCTTTGTCAAGTTTTCACGCAAGCCATTGCAGAGATTCTTTAAGTAGGTGCTGGCCAAAATCGTATAGACGAGTGTGCCGAGTGACATCAATGAGAATACCAGTATGGAGGGTATAACGATGCGCCATGGTTTCGGCAAGCCCCTGTAAAGATAAGTAAATTAAGAGTGTGATCTTGTGTTCGGCTCGTTTTTTTGGAAAGGAAAATCAAAGTCATCATATGAGACATCTAATTAACATGGTGTTGTGAAAGCATAACTATATGTTCTCTTAAGAACTTGGAAACTTCTCGGAACCATGCGATTAAATAATTCTGCCTTCTAAAGAACGGCTAAGTAAGGTTTCCGGAATTTCTACGATTCAACGACTAATAATTCTGCAGTCAAAAACTTATTTCTGAAAGATCCGAAGATCTGATCTGTTGACGTAGAGAAAACTTCACCAGCACTGGTCGCGAGGAACTGACCTATAGAAGATATTTCACAAGTATATATATAAGTTATATATATGTATAGGGAGGCTGAGGCTTTGTAACCGCTGAAGCGATCTTCGTCTTAATGTTTTTCCAACAAATTGAGGGACCTACAGTTTATACTATGCCGTCCCTGAACGGCTGATGGTTTTTTATGGGGAGTCTTTATTTCATCTTAGCAATACACTCGGAGCGGTTGACATTCCCAGCCGAGGGGCCGTCGCAGTTAGAAATTTTAGCTTAATTTTTATTTAAATTAATTTTCTATACAATTTGGTAGTTATTACGATACCACTCGGCTACCGCGGCCGGCACAAAAGTAGGCTTGTTTTAACAACCATAAAATGAGGTAATCCCACAGTCTGGATCAATTATCAGGGGGAAATCAAACTTAAATCAGTTCCCGTCTGGCATACTGTGTGAATGATTGAAACTCACACGACACATCACTTCCTAGGCAATCTTAAAGCCATAACATGGGTGTACTTCACTGAAGATTCAGCAGACTAAGGTCTATTTTATTATCTGCTCGGAATAAAGGTAGAGGGAGAGGCATACTTTATTGGCGACATCAAATGATGTATGACTTGTTAGAAATAGGGATTTCATGTTATTCCCGAAACAATCGCCAGAGCTTGATTAGTGTTGATCAAGAACTGAAACTCAGAGCTTAAACCAAAACTGAACCTGCGCAAAAAAAGAGCACTGGATCTCAAATTATCTGAGTAGTCATCATCAGTTTTCGGCATAGTTTTGAGGGCCAACATCCAAACTCGGGAATTTAGTTCAAAATAAACCCATTTCCTCCTTGATCCCTTATATAATTGACACCTCGATCTTGCAGTTCCTCCCGGTTATTGATAATCTTTAGCCATATGCAAACAGCTAACTCTCCTACCTTTACTACATTTGCACTGCTGCTTCAACTCAATACCCTCTCCTACGATATCCACTGAGGTCCCTACTTACTAGATAACCTACAGTTGCTAAGAAAGTTATCTCGATCTCCTTATGAGAAAGCGTTTGGTATAGAGCCAAATCGGCAAGTCGCTAACCGGTAACATCTGGAGCAAATAAACACTTTGCTGCCAATTTACTTCGGACGAACGGACGATCGCATGCGTCGAGTGGATATCAGTGCTTACTACTATTCGGCCGTCTTTCTCCAGGGAATGTCAACACGTTCGAGTGTATTTATGATATGAAAAAAAGGTTCATCAGATACATTACTCGTATGGCCGTGGCTTAGGATGAGTTTTAAACCACATATCCCAAACTGCAGGAGGAGTTCGTTCGCGATGATCTGCAATTATATAGATGAACATATATCGCCTCGAAACAGACCTGTGAGAAGCAGATGAAGAAGTTGCAGACTTTTTCAAATACCCTCTTGCGGTTATTTTCGTGGTATCCTGACAGAAACCGGCTTAAAGCAAAGCCATTCCACAACATGTCAGAAGGGTTGTGTATAATTGCAAATTTTGGGTGTCACATCAATATAGGCAGTTATAACTTTGATGTCGTAGACAACGACAATGTCAGCCTGGCCCTGGATCTAACCCAGAATCCATCTTGCTACAGGGTACTATTTATTTTGGGCTGAGTAGGCATCAAAGACTAACGGAACAAGATCCTCATTATACGCATTCTATTCGCCGGATGCGGAGGCATGTACGTTGAAACCAGTCTAATGAGCCGACTTTGAGAATTATCGAGAGAAAGATTTTATGGAAGATTTATGGTTCTATACAAATGGATGACGGTAAATACCGCAGGCGTGTGTGATATGCGAACACATTGGTATAGTTCAACCTATTAAGAGGCAGCGGATAAATCATGTCGCCCCTGAAAGCATGTTTGATGTAGTACCTGCTGGTGGAAATAGAGGGAGAATAATATCGCCACGCCGTTGGAGAAATGAGGTGGGAAAGGAGCTGACGTCACTTGGTGTCTCTAATTGGCTTCGAGCAGCTAAAAAAAAGAATCGACTAGCATTCTATTGTTATTTCGACTATAAACACAGACAGCATAAAGGATGAAGACGTTAGAGAAGAAAAGAAAAGGAAAAGCTGAATTTTTGAACGCGTAATAGAAGCACCATATACCGATAGCCAGTCAGCAACTCTCTCAGCTCTTTAGCCGGTAATGATGTTATTAAAACCCAATCAACGTTTATTGCAGACGAAAAGCTCGAGCTAAATCTCTGGATATTTTATTTAAATTCTACTCTTACTTATTAAAATGTTTTTTGAATTCACTATCGGTGATGAATTTTTTACCCTTCACAAGTCAATAATCACTCGGAACCAAATCTGGGCTGTAGGGTGGGTAATTCAAAATATCGCAACGCGGAGGCATGACCACTCTCGGTATTTACCTTGGGACCTTACCATCGACCACAACACGTGCGAGTTGGGATAGAAATGGATGGCAAGACAAAAAAGTAAGAGGCCAAAATGCCTGAGCATGAAGAGCTCACAAAGGTAACTCTCGAAAATTGTATGAAAAGATGTGTCAACTGAAAGAAGGTTTCAAGACCGAAGTATACTGATTAAGGAATGTGTACATCAGGTGACCAATGTCCAGAGCATATTTGGTATGTGGAAGGAACATTTCTACGGCCTGCTAAATAGCAGTGAAACTGCAATATCTGGTGACAATGAACCCTAAAAGTGGAAAAGGCATTCCTTGACGAGATTTAAATAACGTACGCCCGCTTCAAGAACCATAAAGCGGCTGGAGCCGAAAGCTCGCCTATTACCGTGAGATTGTCTTTTTAAATATCGCATTTAAGGTCCTATCGAGCGTACTGTGTAAAACTGTTTGGAACTTATCAGCGTATCTTTAGACCTGGTAAATCAACCATTGACCAGATATTCGCCATGCGCCAAATCTTGTGCTTCTACTGCACCACACGCTACAGCTGTATTTACGCCACCACCTCTGAACTTGATATTCCTGCAAAACTTATGTGGCTATGTAAACTGACGCTGGGCAACATCATAAGCGCTGTCTGAATTGGGTAGGACCTTTCCATTTCTCATTTCATCACACAAACAGTCATGGTATTCGCGACTCGGCTCCCACGTCACTGTTGACAGTCGTCTATCTTGGAACCAGTATTAACACCAGCAACAAAGTCAGCCTGGAAATCCAACGTAGAATCACACTTGCCAACAGGTTCTACTTTGGACTGAGCAGGCAATTGAAAAGTAAAGTCCTCTCCCGACAAATGAAAACCAAACCCTACAAGTCGCTTATCGTTGCCGTCCATATGGTGAGGCGGCTTAGACGATGACAACAGCTCATGAGTAGGCATTAGGAGTTTTCGAGAGAAAGGTTTTGCGTAAGATTTATGGTCCTCAACGAGTTGGGAGCGGCGATATACTACGGCGACATTGATTTAGTACAGCGAATCAAGAAAAATCAAGGCTATATTATGTTGTCCGAATGGATGAAAGCACTCCAGCTGAAGGTTTTCAATGCACTACCCACCGGTGGAAGCAGAGTAGAAGATCTTCAATCCGTTGGAAAGACGAAGTAGAGAAGAACCTGGCTGTACTTGGTATTTCCAATTTACCTAAACAGTGAAAAAAGTAACGAAGATGCAATGTCATAAACTCGGCTATAATAGCGTGAGCTATAGACACTGCTCAGTAAGTAAATAAGTACAACTGCAGGTGTATGCCATTGACATTATTGGCCTCAACAGCCGCGCCGTTAGTTATGCCTTCTCTTAACTTGACAAAGAAGCGAAACGAATGGGTCTGGTAATGAACGAGGAAGCGACTTGGATTCACTTGGTATTTCCAACTAACTTAAGCTGTGTCTACACCAGCAGAGAAGAAAAAGAAGAAGACAACACGAGCCTTAAGAGTACCCTACAACCCGCTCATTCCGGAACAAAAAAAACTCTTCCTGGTAGTAAATTGTTGTTTTCACATCCGCAACTTCCTCCTTCAAAATTTCGCACGCGCGTAAGAACAAACCTTCAACTGGATTTTCTATATCCGCTATATCCATTTTCCAAGTTCATTAACATTGTGAAAATATTTACATTTCAATTTATTGCCAAAATTCACTCACCAATATTTTTGCACGCCCGATTGAAATATTAAACACATTGCCGTCCAAATTATTGCGAAGATTTCCGACAAAAATGGAAAACTGTAAATGAATTGAACGGCGGCGCTTTGGCGCCAACGTGTTTTGTGCACGTCCAGCATCACTGCAAGGTACAGGTTGGCGAGAAATGGAAAGAAACAAAGTTAATATACTCGTATGTATGCAAGTACGAGGTGTATTCAAAAAATATCGCGAATTTTGGGTTTTTTTTTCAAAAATTATTTATTTATTCATGAATTTCTATTTTGTTCCCTGCAAAGTAATCCCCATGAGATATTATACACTTGTGCCAACGTTTTTCCAATCTTCGAAGCACTTCAAAAAATCATTTTCTTTATCTTGTTCAGCTCCTCCTTTGATGCCGTCTTTATCTCGTCAATCGTAGCGTAACGTCGTCCTTTCAGTTTAGGAAACAAGAAAAAGTCACAGGGGACCAGATCTGGGGAATACGGTGGCTGCGGCATCATTAGTGCGTTGTTTTTGACCAAAAAGTCGCACACAAGAAACGATGTGCGAGCAGGGGCGTTATCATGGTGCAAAAGCCAATTTTTGTTCTTCCACAAATCCGGGCGTTTCTGGCGGATTGCTTCGCGCAAATTGCGCATAACTTGCAGGTAATATTGCTTATTGATCGTTCTACCCGGTGGCAATACCATTTTCTCCACTTCATTAATTTTTTCGTCTGTTGTTGAAGTGCTCGGGTGTCCGGAACGCTTTTCGTCGTTCATATCTTCTCGTCCTTCTGAGAACATTTTGTACCACCGATAAACATTGCTTCAGTCCAAGGTAGCTTCTCCGTATGCCACAGTTAACATACGGAATGCATCTGCGCACTTAATTTCGTTTTTCACATAAAATTTGGTACAGGTTCTTTGATCCATTTTTTGAATAGGTAAAAATCGAAGACCATCCAAAACGAGTGCAAACAAAGCAGCTGTCAACAATTAAGTGAACGTTCAAAATGGCCGAGCTTGTCGGCATAAGTGACAGACATGAGTACAAACATAACGCCACAAAAAAATCGAAATTCGATTATACGTAAACCGCGAAAATTCAAAATTCGCGATACTTTTTGAACACAACTCGTATGTATGTATTATGTATGAACATCAAAAACACAACAACACGAACGATATGTGTGTGTGTGTGTGTGCGCTGAGATAATCGACAGCAATGTAATAAATGAATTCGCCCGTAATGAGCACATAAACCGTTAAATAGACAAAATATTTACACTAAAATTCACATAATCTATGTAAATATTTGGAGAAAATTAGCTAATAGTTAAAAATTCCGCCGCACAGTCACACACATGTGCATACATACACATACACCATTATACACTCACTTGTAGCCAAAAATTCACGATCATGCGTCATATTGAATTTCACAGCTGGCGCTGCAGTTGCGACCACCTCCTCCGCCGTTTCCTCATCCACTGCGTGCTGTTTCTCGTCGTCGTCGTCGTCGTCGTCGGGTCGTAGCAATCCGAAAATGTGGTACGTTTTGGTTACTTTGGGCTGTTTCGTTGTGGCTGTGGGTATGTATGTATGTTTGTATGTATGTAATGTGTATTAGAAAATTTACTGAAATTCTATTACCATTCGCATCCAGCGGCGCCAGTGTAGTTACATCTTCAGCCTCATCTTCTACGACCGGCTCGGTGTATGTCTCATTTAGTAACTTATTCAAATCACCATAGAATATCTCCTTGGAATGTTCGTCCATTTGTCGGAAATCTCTCTCCCGAAAAGCTAATTTAGCACCGAGTATGCCATGGTAGAAGTCACCCGAGATTATGTGTATGGTAATACTCCAAAGGATGGACGTCAATGCAAGTACCACCATAAGACATATTACGGCGTCTGGGAAAGAGAAGAGAAAGAGTAGAAATTTATTAAGACTCATAGTTTTCGTAGGTATATGAAATATTGAGAAAAGTAGCGAAGTTATGGAAGCTTCTTATGCTTCTGCTTCTATAAAGCTCACGAGAACTCTTACTTATTCTGAGTGTGAACAAAATATTCAGCATTGGTCAAATCTTGAAAAAAGACCCGTGTAAAGTAGATTTGCAAACATTACCACTCCGTCGCAGCACGAAGAAGAGCTAATCATGTGCCATTCCATCTGAACTTGGTATCCCTAAAAAGCTTTTAGGACTCTGTAAACTGACGTTAAGCAACAACAAAAGCTTCAACAGCGTAGTAATGAAAAAAATAAGGTGAATATTGGCATCCTCGCCGAATTTCATGTCAATGTCATCGTTGGTATTTTAGAAACTGAAATTGTGTTTACTAAACGACTAAAAGTGCCTTCGGCGATTTTTGAAATGTCTGATTTAATTGAGCAAAGAAGTGCGATCAAATATTGTTTGCGGAACGAGTTTTTGGCTGTTGAAACGTTGAGGATGCTACTTAACGGCTTTGGGAACTCAACAATGTCGCAGAAGAACATTTATAAGTAGTACGAAAACTTCAAAGGGGGTCGGCAACATGTTGAGGACTTGGAACGCTCGGCACGACCATCAACGTCAGCTGATGTGCCACACTTTTAAGGAGTTAGTGCCAAAAAATCATCGATTGACTGTTAGGGACCTTACTGATATTGTTGGAATATCAGAAGGATCTGTAAAAACGATTTTGAAAGACTATTTGAGCAAAAAAAAAGGCCAGAATTAGGGGCCAACAATTCTTGGTTAGCAAAATAATATTAAACCGTCGCACACAGCACTCATTCTTCGTGACCGTTTCGCTAAAAATTCCACGAATATCGTTCCCCAATCACTGTATTCGCCGGACTTAGGCATCATGTGACTTCTGGCTCTTCCAAAAACTCACTTCGAGAACACCGTTTTTAGTCGATTGAGGAGAGTAAATCGTGAATCGGCGCGCTCTCTGAAGGCCCTACCAGACCATGACTATTTGACATGCTTCGATAATTGGAAAAAGCGTTCGCATAACTATTTAAAGGCGACGAAATCGATCATAGTGTGATGATCTTCACATCATCTGCTTTCTATAGATTTGACAAAGAAGCGAAATAATTGGTTGATAATGAATATGATAATGATAAGACGACATATATCCTATCAAATCTCGAAACCCAACGTAGAATCACTTTTTTAAGCAGGTCCTACTGAGAAGGCAAATGAAAAGTATTACTCTCTTGGCAAACAAAAACCAAACTCTACAAGCCGCTCTCCATACCCGTCCTACTAAGTGATGTAGAGACATGGACGATGACAACATCTGATGCGTCGGTGTTAGGAATTTTCGAGAAGAGATTTTTGGTTCTCTACGAGTTGGAAATGGCGAATACCACAGTCGATGGAACGATAAGCTGTTTGAGATACACGAAAATATTGACATAGTTCAGCTAATCAAGCTAAAGTGGCTACGCTGGCTAGGTCGTGTGGTCCGTGTGGGTAAGAATAATGCAACTTTGAGAGTTTTTGAATGCAGTATCCGCCGGTCGAAGCAAGGTAAGTATCAGGTGGAGAAGGATCCAGCTGTACTTGGTATTTCCAACTGGTTCAAAACAGCGAAAGGAAGAAACAAATGCTGCGCTGTTTTATTTCTTAGCGCGATTAATATGTACCTTTCTGTTGCCCTTTATTAGAGAATGATATAACTCCGGCTTAGAAAATTATAGCACTAAATCAAGATTTAATCTTTCTATCATCAGAATCTAAATAATGTGGGAATAAAGGTATTTTCTAATTATGGTCGCCCCTCGACAGGGAACGTCCACCCCTCAGAGAGTATTTCGGACATGAAATAAAGGCTCCTGATTAAAAGAAGCTCAGCCCTTCATGGGCAGCTTAGTATAAACTCTAAGTCCCACCATTTGTTGGAAAAACATCAAGACGCAAAACCACAAAATTGGAGGAGGAGCTCGGCCAAAAATCGCTTCAGCGGTTACAAAGCGCCAATTATATTAAAGAGTATTGAGCTATTTTAAGTCGAATTTCAATTTTATTATGACCCCAAAAAGTTCTTATTGGTAAATTTCTCTCAACCCAAAAAGGCTCCTGACTATCTATTAAGTCAATTACGCCAGGATGGTATTGCTTTCTTAACTTGCCTGATTAACGCATTACTTAAAACGAGATTCTTCCCTGCTCAATGAAAGGCATCATAAAATTATCCTGATCCCAGAACCCGGTAAAGCTGGAGATAAAATAACATCATAACAACCCAATAGACCCATTGCATTCAAAATCATCGAAGTGCTGTTCTTTAAACGGTTGCTTCCAGTTATTGAACAGAAAAGTCTCACACTCCGCCATCAACTTTGATTAAGAAAAACACAGCACAATAGAACGCCTTCATGGACTTGTAGGGAAAATACATTATGCTTTGGAGATATATCAGAAACATTTGATCCTTGTTTGGCGTGACGGATTACTTTATACATTAAGACCAGAAAGTTTCCGGAAATGGTCATTTAAACTGCCCGAGCTGCGACACTTTTTTTGTTAAGTTGGTAGCATTGTCCTTAAATATGACGGCGATCTGTCAAAGAGCTGGTTTGCAGCAGCTTTTGATATCGGTTGACCTCAGTTCCCTTGGCGAATTTTCGTTTACGGTGTCAATCGTGTCGAAACGGGTATTACGCAGTGGTAACTTGAGCTTTGGAAACAAAAAAGTCGCAGGGGCCAAATCCTATGAATACGGTTTATGATCGGTGGTATTGAACGGGTTTTCGGTCTTAAAATCATTCACAACTCCAGCTCGGAGCGAAGGCGCATTATCGTCCAGAAATTTTCCGGAAGTTGTTGGCCCACAATTCCGACCGTTTACGACGGTTGTTCTCGCGCAAACACCTCAAAATGCTCAAATAATACTCTTTATTGACCGTCTGTACCGTTGAAATGAATTCATGATGAAGCAAAACCGCGAACATGGAAAAAATAAAACAATATTCGTAAACTTTCTGAAGGATTAAGAAGCCTCTTCCTACATAGTAATATTAATTAAGTTTTAACTGAGAAACTGGCATTTCTCTGCAAAGCATGAAGTGGAACACTGTGTATTCTATGAAAGTTTAGTCGGTGTACACCAAGGAAGTGTCTTGGGCCCCAAATATATCTTCTTTACGTATATGTATTTCGTGTACTTTCGCTAATGATACTACTGTCCAATCTACTTTCAAGTAAACTTCAAAAAGGGTAAATAAATGAGATTATTAAGTGGCTTAATAGGCCACGATTTGAGAGCATACATCTGTCATATACGATCCCTTAATTAGGAAGGTGAAGCTGGCCTGCTGGTTGATGACCTAGTTAAATTAAATGCAGTTCAAGAAGTGCCGGAGCAAGAACGGAAGCCTCACCACTATCTGTACCAAAACGAAATTTTTCAACACCAGCGTGGGTAAAGAGGGTATCTTCGGCACAACTATTGGAAAATTCAGTCTCTACAACGAAATATTCTCAAACGGCCTGATCCTGTTATCATCGATCATGTTGTGATAGACGGACAATATGTATCCAGTTGCTAGATTTGCGTACGTTCCGAGTTCCAAACATCGACTCGGATAACTATCTGCTTGCAGTGAAGTGTATCAAAGAACGTCTGTCAACAATCATAAGGAAGGTTCCACGTCGAAAAGGGGAACAGAGAGCCAAGAAGTTTGCTACCCGATTTTCACTCCTGCTCTCTTAAACTCCCTTCATACCGCTATAATGAAAACAATTGATTTTCGGCAGTGTCAAAAAAAGAGCTGGTACTATGAGGAAGCTCGAACTACAGAGGAGAGGCAACTTACTATCTAACACGGAAACTTTGCGATCAAGCACAAAACGTGCGGTGTGGAATACATACCGAGAGCTAAAGTGGAAGCAAAACGCATTCGGCCGGAATATGTGACTACGGAGAACTATAGAAGCTGACCGACCAGAGTAATGTTCGAAAATTCTACGAAAAGCTGCGGTGACTCGGCAGCTAAGATCATATTTGATGTTTGGCGGGTACGAACACTTCTACCGCCTGCAGCATGGCAGTGGAAGTGCAACCACCTTCAATGGTGAGGGGAAGAAGTATACGTCAATATATATGTATGTATGAATGAAACCGATGATATAATTTCCTCCCTTACGCAAAACTTAAGAATATTTTCACAACAAAAGATATACTTAAAATCATAAATTCTTTTATATACCGAATTTAGTAAGGCACAAAAGCTACACGCTTTGTATTTTTCTATTTATTTTTACTTTTTATTTTATTTTTGTTTGCTATTTATATATACATACATACTTGTACATGTGTTCCACAGTAATTCCTATTGTACTTGCCACAATTTGCAGCCAATTTGTGTGTAGAGAAAATAATAATAAATTTACTTTGAAAGAAGCAAGCAAAACAACAAAATAAACTTAAATATAAAGAACACATTGCAGTATCTTAGCTCATTCAAGACTCAATAATAAAAAGGAGGATATGTACGTTTGTAAACTCACTCAAGCGAATGCAGCTGTGTATTGATTTGCCAGCCAAATCTAATTTTTTCATGACAAGGAAAAATGAATTTAGTGTAATGCGGTATTTAAATTTTTTCCTTTTTTTTTGCCTTGGCATTTGCATTTGATTATTAAAAAATAAGCATTAAGCAATATAAAGTAATTTACTGCTATATACACACTGCGATTGCATTCTAATAAAAATGAATTAATAAATTAGATTGAATAATAATTAAATGCTATTCACTTTACCTTATGAACAAATGTTTCTTTCTATACATATTTATTTTTTTAAAAATTAAACCAATATTAAAAAAAATCTAAAAAAAAAACTTTGTAACAATAAATACCATATAAACTTCGAATTTATCTAAAATGCCTAAAAAATTCATCAGCCTTGCAGCTCGATGTCCTTCTCCTTTATTTATTTTAACGACACCATTTTTTTGGTAAATCAGAAAATATTCTTGGAACAAAACAGCTCAGTTCAGATTTCTTTCTCTGGTGAATAGATGAAATTTCACAGAACATACATACATAAAGGGTGACTTTTTTAATTATTATCCTTTTGCCAACACTGGTTTAAATGGCTGACGCACGTTTCGGGTTTTGTATCCCTGTCAAACATCTTCAGTTTGGTATATAATTTAATCTTGAATCGTCTTACAAACGAACAACGCTTGTAGATTATTAAATTATATTATCAAAATGCGCGCGCTTCGAAGTTTATTTTTGGCTTAATAGGTACGTAAAGAGGCAGAATTTTCGATTTTGGAGTGAAGATCAGCCAGAAGCATTGCTAGAGCTACCAATTCACCCATTAAAACTCACAGCTTGGTACTGTTTATGGGCTGGTGGCATCATTGGACCGTACTTCTTCAAAGATGATGCGAATCGCAACGTAACTGTGAATGGTGAGCGCTACCGTAAAATGATATCCATCCTTTTTGCCGAAACTGCAAGAGCTTGACTTGCATGGCATGTGGTTTTAACAGGACGGTGCCGCATGCCACACAGCACGCGTAGCAATGCACTTATTGCGAGGCGATTTCGGTGAACATGTTATTTCACGTTCGGGACCGGTCATCTGGCCGCCTGGATCGTGCGATTTAACGCCTTTAGACTATTTTTTGTGGGGTTATGTTGAATCTAATGTCTATACAGACAAGGCCTCTTCACTTAACGCATTGGAGGGCAACATTGTAGCATTTATTCCTGAGATATCGGCCAAAATGTTGGAAAGAGTTTGCTGAAATTGGACTAAGCGGATGGACCATTTGAGGCGCAGTCAGGGTCAACATTTGCATGAGATAATCAATAAACATTAAATTACGAGTATATGGACCGTACTATCGATTCAAATAAAGATTTTATACATTTTTCTGAATTTTTGTTTTTTTTTTTTGTTTTTTGAAAAACTTTCCTCCACTACAAGCAAAAAAAAGCTCGACTCGTAGAGCCACATAGCCAAATTTGTAGTGTGAGAAGCCCCTGCGAACAATGCGAGTACGCCATGCAGACATTGGAGTACTCCAAAACTAACCACAATATATAATATATAAAAAAATATGATTTAATTAACACTGCGGTTCCCGACGTCTGGACCATATACTCCACTCCTGCATAACAACCCAGTAGTCACAGTAAACCATAATATTTATACATAAATTTATATTAATAGTAATAAATTATTGACAATAAATACATAATACATTTCAATTTTCTCCTCTCATTTGCTTAAACTTCCACACATCAGAAGTGTGCCAGCGCAGCTATTTTCAAAACGAAACAAACACAATTACAGTTTCAAACGTTTTCAGTACACGAGTATAAATCTTATAGACCACTTGCAACTTCGTTAAATAATTGCGATCGTTAAAACACGAGCAATCATTGACTAACAACAAGCCGGTAGCGGGGCGTTAGTTGATCCAATAGCACACTACAATGGGCTATCTCTTGGATTACTCCAATGGACCATATGGCACACAAGTCTTTGCAGGGTATGCATGGATATTCAGAATTCTAGGGATGACTGGAAATAGTGTGCTGGCAGATCTCTGCTAGCCACCTATAAATTCCAGATGTTGTGTAAATCAGAAGAAAAAGTACCTCCTCACGTTCTACTTACACTAAAAACAGGAAATAGTGTCACTTATTTGGGCAGATGCAGCCTGTATCAAGAGCAGTCAAATTATGACTCCTAATATGTCGAGCCATTTTATGACCTTTCTTAGCTGCAGACGCCTCCTTCATTCATTGTCTGCTTTACACTTTGGTATTGCAATAAAATAAAATATAATATAATAATCTAGTTATATAATAATAATAATGTTGACGTTTTAACTTGTCTATGATGTGGTGACATATTGGTGTGATGTGATGTGTTTGTGGTGATGTCATGTCGTATGATCACTTTTTGCGAGGTAATTATTGATATGTGGCTCTAGTCTGGGGATCGTCACAATATCTAAACCTGTTAGCTAGGTTTTAAAAAGCTATGGAGAGCGCCAAAGCTAAAAAATGGCCATTGAAATGATAACACATTCATATACATAAAAAAAATAAAAGGGCATTCCAATAAGACGAGTTATTTTGAATTGTCTGCTATTCCGGTAGATGTCACTTTTAAGGGTGGTAATAAAAATGTAACGATACACTCAACAACAACTCATTGAAGTTATTAAAATTCACTATAAAAATTCCACCGATCTTTTAAAGGAAAAGCTTCTTTGAATATCAAAATAACACCTCTTTGTAAAACCCTTACACTCTGTATAACTCCTACGTGCAGTTGCTAACGAAATGATTGCTTTTCGAATAGGTCAAAAGTACAGCTACTGCGATGAACATTACCGAGAATTGAAGAGGAAAGCAATATGCATGCGCAGACAAAAAAAGAAAGAAGCCAATATGTGTGAGTAGGAAGATCTTGAGAAGTTCGCCGACAAAAGTAATGCTCGAAAAATCTATGAGAAGACACGACGACTTACAGAAGGTTTGAAAACCGGAGCAGTGATCTAGCAACCAGAGTATGGTGAATTTATGGAGGAAACTTTGCTCCAGCCTGCTGTATGGCTGTGAAAATGGAACAGCAGAAGTTGGTGAACCACACATTTTATTCCCCGACTATGAAAAATTTGGAATAGTAATTAGTGCGCTCGAAGAACAAGCATTTGGCGGTGGCCGATAGATTGTCGGCCGAGTTATTCAAATATGCAACCAAGAATGTGGAAGCGTCAGCTTCTTTGCAGAATAGGGCCGGACGAAGGCATGCTCAATCCATAAGAAGAACGATCCCACAGTCTGCGCCAATGATCTCGGACTAAATTGTTTCTAATATCGAATATATGTGTGTCCTATCGAGGGTATTGTGTGAAAGACTAAAAAAAGATCCACCGTTTACAAACTAACATTCTCCAAATATTACACGACGGTGTAAAAAGATATTAAGCAACACCAAAAGGTCCGCCTGGATCGCGAAGGACCTCTCTGAGCAATTCGATACCAAATGATGTGTCAGACAAGGCGGCTTCTTAACGTGTGACTTCTTCAATTTACTGCTGGAGAAAATAATACGAGCTGCAGAGATGAAAGGAGAAGATACAATCTATAAGGGTGTATAGCTGTGATATTGACATCAACGGACTCAAAAACCGTGCTGTGAGTTTTACTCTCTTCAGATCAACGAGGACAAGACGAAATATTTTCTGCTATCAATTAAGCATTTATCGAATTCGCGACTTGGCGGCCAGTCATAACTTTGAAGTTGTAGATAATTTCGTCTATCTTGGAAGCAGGTACAACTTTGAACGGAGTAAGCAATTGAGAAGTAGCAGTAGAAGCGTGGATGACATCGACAGCTGATGATTCCCAAGGAAATTTTCCAGATAAAGGTTTTACAGAAGATTTTCGTCCCTTGGGGCGATGAATACCGCAGTCGATGGAGCAAGTTGTATGAAGATATTGGCATGGTTCAGCTCATTAAGAGACAAAATACTCAAGTGTTCGAAGCAGTGCCCGCCGATGGAGGAAAAGAAATACAGCCACTCCATTGGGAAGACCAGGTAGAAAAGTATCAATTGACGCTAAGAAGGAATCATGAAATAAAAGGCCATAAAACGATGATTATTGTAAATCGGCGCCTGAAAGTTACTTTTTGGTTTAATCGGTTTGTTAATAGTTTAATTTTTTTTTTTAAAGAACAAAACTAAAATTGCGTGCTAATTATTATTTAGTAGGCTACCCCTTGCTGTCTATGACTGATTTCATACGTTTGGGCATGGATTCCACTAACTTCTTGATATAGTCATGAGCAATAATGTTTCATTCTATTTGTAGGGCTTTTCTTAAGTCGACTTGATTTCCAATCTCATATTTTCGAATCTCTCGTTCCAAAACCACAGATTCGCAATCACATTCAAATCCGGAGGAGACTGGGCTGCAGACAGTAAGAGCCAACTTTGCATAACGCCTGATTTGTGTTTCGGATCATTATCTTGATAGTAACGAAACTTGTCACAAATATTTAATTTTGAGACACTTTGCAACAAAATTCTTTTTAAAATGTCCAAATACACAGTACTATTAATGAAACCCAAATTTCCCAATTCAGAAGACGACATGCATCCTTATACCTGCACCATGCTTTACATTTGGTTTTCTCTATACATAATACCTCTTTCCATCTGATCCTTCTTTACCTGAAGCTGGAGCACTTAAATGGGGGGTTTTGCGTATTTTTTGTACAATCCATCGGGAATGACTTTCGCTAAATATTTTTTATCAGACGTTTTAATTTTAAAAGCTACTATTATAACCCGAAATTAGATCGAAATCTTCACAAAGTTTTGACATAGAAATTGTTCTTGATATTGAGAAAATTATGATTTTTCCTGATATGAAGAGTGCGCTATCCTTCTGGTGCCGATTCACTATATTCATCGTCCTGTGACTTTTTCTCATAAAAAGTCGTCAGCCATTCGAAGGCGGCTTAGTATGCACTGTCGGTCCCACAATTTCTTGGAAAAAAAACAACAAAGAAAAATATAAATATATTTTTTATTTTATTTCAAGTAAAGAAATATTTCTCAAGCACGAAGAAGCGTAAACTCACCACAGTTGCCTATATTCAGACATTCCTGCGGCATTTTCAAACAACAAAATTTTTCATATTTACCTACTGTATGACATTTCATACTCGAACTACATTTCAACAACCAAAATACTCAAAATTTTTCGAAAATTTCTTTTTCATAATATTCAGTTTTCTTGCGAAAAAATCGGTGGAGGAAGCAAATCGTTTCACCGCAAATAGTGGAAATTATACATATACATATATTTTTTTTATTGGAAAGCAATTATTTTGCGCGAAAAAAAATCCAAATATATTTTTATACTTAATTATTGTTGAAAACGACGTTACGCATTCATGACGTGCGACTGGTGCCCGCAGAAGTGTACAGAACAGTTTCCGGCATGCTTTCAGCGCTACCGTGGCTCTACGGACAAAAAGAATCCCGGCAATATTCATGAACTTCACATACTGGCGCAACGTATTAAACCGAAATATTACGATGGCATCGAATTGGATTACGCACATCGACTTGCGGCTAACAAGAATATTACCTGCAATTGGGTATGGAGTCACACACGGCCTTCGGGTTTTCGCTTTGGTGGCATTTACTCACTACGTCTATACGATGATTTTTTAGTATGTTTCAAGTCTTTCCGAAATATTGAAATGAAATGTTTAATTTATGCGCTCTCTCTCTCTCCCTCTCGTTTTTGAAAAGCAGCAAACGCCCACCATAATGGCAGACATCAATCCCACGACACTTGCTTCGAACGTCAGCATTATATTTTATCCACACAACGCACTACGTTTGGAGGCTGCCATGCAGCGCGCCGCTGCCGAGGAACCGCTACAAACACAAACCACCATCGAACTAATACGTCCGGCGACAACAGTCTCGTGGAATATGTACAATGTGCGTGCGGATAGTGGTCGTAGCACTATATCGATAATGCGCTCGATAACGAAATCGTGGGCATTGGGTGCCGAACTGTTACTCGAGTGGAACGATCCACGTTCGCTGATGACCGATACAGCGCTCGCATTGCGCTACTCGAAATACAATTATCAGGTGGCGGCATCTGCATCGCGACAAGGTTTGGACTTGAGCTTTTGGCAACGCATACACCAACGTATACAAATGGCGACGATGTTGGCATGGCATCGGAAGACGAATATGACGATCGCCACTATTTGTTATCAGTGGGATTTCGATGATGCTGTTGTACGCAGTATGGTGAATTCAGATCTATCCGTAGGCTTCCAGTATTATCGGTGGGTATGCAAAGCAAATGTGTTTTTAAAGGGTTTTGAAATTTTTTTCCGCTATTTTTTAGCTCACTTCCGCATATACCTTGCGGCATGGGTTTGAGTGCTTTGATCAGTTTATTGAACAATCGTTTTGCATTTGGACTCAAATTTGTGCTGGATCCCAGCGGGCAACGACGTGGTGAATAAAAATTTAATATCGATTATATATATACTCTTTTTTCATAATAATAATGAGGTCTGACTGTATTAAATTTATGCAGCTTTTGAGAATTTCTTAACCCTATATTTCTTGAACTTATTAATACGCAATATCAAGACATCCCATCCTCCCTTGGTGTACCCATGTGGTCTTCAACTACGTCGGGCGCTTGATAAGTTCGTAGCCAATGAACCAATTCTCCCTCAAGTGAAATATACTTTTCACATCGTGAATTCAATGCCTTTATATCACGGAAAAAATATTCTTTAAATTTGTCTTTAAAATGCTGCTTTTATCTCACTGTCGTCTGAAAACCTTCGTCGCCGTAACTCCTTTTTTAAATTTGAAAAAAAAGTAAAAGTTACTGGAAGCCAGCTCTGGCCTGTATAGTCTGCGAAACCAGTATTTTTTAATGCATCCCTCGCAATCGGAGCAGTTTGAACGGGTGCATTGTCTTGAAGAAACAGCACTCCGCGTGCTAACTTGCCACACCTATTCTGTATGACTGCCTCACGCGCCTGACTCAACAAATTAGCGTAATACTGTCCGTTCATTCCCTACCTAACCCAAAAAGAGTTAGCCATTATCTTCGACACCGACTTTTCCCATTTAAATCTTTTTTGGTGGCCTTTACTGTTTTTTTATATCTACTGCATTGGCTCCTGTTCGGACTGGGTATCATTTAGACAAATCTCTAGTTCTATCAACTGTTACAATGCAAATTGCATCCAAATCCTCTTGGCACAACGCCACAAAATCTTAACAGCTCTCCAATCGTCGCAGCTAATTTTTTCATATTCAAATGCTCATGCTTAATCTCTCCAGCTCATACTTTGCTAATCTCAAATCCTTCTGCTGTCTGCCACAATTTAATTCTTCAATCAGCCAATACTAGTCTCTCGACTTTCTGAACATTTTATTCGGTCACGTCCGTCACTGGGCGACTTGGGGTGGGTCATCTTCGTAGCTCTCTCTTTCTTGTTGAAACGGGAGAACCCATTTCTTCACCATCGTATATGAAGGCGGCAGAGACGGGAAGAACCGATGACTTCTCTTTACAAATTTCGACGTACTTCATTTTTTGCAAGGATTTTGATCACAGCACGGTGCTTCACATTGTGAGAGTTTTCCTAGTTTCCGTTGACATAGAGTTGTTGCTTGTTCTAGGAACAAAATTTCATGCTTCACACTACTTTCGAGAAGAGAGAATTTCATAAAAATACTTGTATTAACCTCAGGAAAGTCATGTTGGAGCTTCGAATGCCAAGTAAAACAGTTTATTTGATCAGGTGGACACTTGTCTCATGTTAAAAATGTTATTCTATAGAAGACTTTCGGTGCGCAAACAAAATTTAAAAAGTGTACCCATGACTTAGATTAAAATGTAAACGGATTTAACGACTAAGAGTTTACTCCTGATGGATTTCAATTTTTGGTTCTTTTGTTATTGAACTGAAATGGGATCGGGGTTGAAAGCTCTATTTTTAAGTCGCAGTGGGAATAAACTCAGCTGTTTGGACGCTAACCGAGAAGGCATTGTGCATCGTGAATCGTGAAAAGTTAGAAAGATTTAATTTTTATACTTTTGTACCGTTACCATATAGGTTACTGAAGTTCAAGTTTGTTGCTTCATTCAGTCCGCTGGAGAAAAATTAGACGTTGGATTAGCTTCCTCTGCGGATTTTTACCGGCACTATGCATTCGAGGGTTGGATTCTAGGTTCGACAAAATATAAATACATAAAAATACATCGGCTCCACTCTACGTTATTTCATAAAAGAAACACCTCCGTATTCGTGAATGTTACTAACCAGCAATTGCCAGGCAGGTGGAATGGGGAGCAGACTCGAATTCGATCACGTTGCGAATCGATATAATTTTTCCTGGCAACTGTGATGCCCATTTTTTAACCGCCTAAAGGCATTTTAGAAAAACTTTTTCGGTCTATTAAAATAAGAAGCTGTCAGATACTTATTAAGGATGAAAAAACTAAGTGAGAATCAAACAAGAATGTTTGGGTCGGGCCGTCTTGAGAGGTTTTCTGCCTACAGAACTATATTAATCACTACATATCAGGAATTAGGAGATGGTGGAAAACCATGTGTGTCCGATATTCTCACCATTTTTTTTATCTAATTAGAGTTTAGTTCACACATTCCTTGAGTCACAAGTAAGGACGCTCACGCTCAGTCACTAAAAGTCCAATTAAAGTCATGTTTGTTGGTTCGATTACATAAAATGTAAATATATTAGGGATGCAAAAAATGTCACGTGAAACAACCCAACCTCGGGTCTTAGAAGCCAATGGATAACCGACAGAATTCGATAAGTTTCTAATGATTTACTCTTAGTTTGGTTTGCCATTTCATAGTATAAAGGCTTACTCCGAAACAACTTTAACAAATTGTGCAAATTTATTACCAAAATAATGATTAGGGTCGCACGACACATAACGCATTGTGTCCAATATTCGGTCAACCTAATGGACCAGCGAAGTCAGTCGGATATTGGAGCGACTATGTATTAGTTCAGCACCACGCTTACTCTAGTAGATAATAATACACATCGTCAGAGATGCCGGGGCCAAAACGAGATGACCGGCGATCCTGACTTTCACAAGAAAATTTTGTTCAACAAACACTTCAGGCTGAATGGGTACGTTAATAAAGCAAATTAGCGCTTTTGAAGTGGTATATATATATATATATATTTATATAATTGACGCTTTGTAACCGCTAAAGCGATTTTCCGCCGGGCTCCTCCACTAATATGTGGTTTTTGTCTCTTAATGTTTTTCCAACAAACGGAGGAACCTACAGTTTATACTAAGCCGCTTTCGAACGGCTGATAGTTTTTTTTACGAGGAACCTTTATTTTATGTCCAAAATACACTCGGAGAGGTGGACATACCCTGCCGCAATTTGAAAATTAACCTTATTTTTTTTAGTGAATTTAATTTCCTATAACTTTTGGATGCAAGTCGCACATGGTTTTGAACCGGAGTCTTCGGAATGCTTGCCATAATGTTGCAGTCAATAGAGAGCCATTATGAATGGCTGTCGTGACTAAATTTGCTATTGCTATGGGTGACCTTTGGTTCTAACAAGACGTACTGCCACACAGCTGAAGAAACAATCAATTTATTGAAGGCAACTTATGGTGAGCGCATTACCTTGCATCGTGGGCCGGTTGCATGGCCTCAAAGATCGTGAGACTTTACACCGCTGGACTATATTCTGTGAGGTTATGTGAAGTTGCTTGACGACGCATATAAGCCAGAGACGTTGGAAGACTTGGAAGAGAATATTTCTCGCTTTAATGCTGACATACGACAGTAAATGCAGCCAAAAGTGGCCGAAAATCTGGCCTTTATTTCAGCCTACCTGGTGGTTATATGCCCGAAATCCTTTTTATAACCTAATGGAAAACCCTTATCTCTAGAATAAAGCCCAATTCTCGGTCACAACATTAAATTATATGCGTTTTATTTCTTCTTAAAACCTACATGTTGGAGCCCTGCTACAAACTCAGCTCCAGATCTGTACCGAATTACTTGTAATATCATTTCGATAAATTCCAAGTGTAACTTGAATAAAATTTCAAATTTTTACTTAGTGGTTTTCGGTCATGAAACGAACAACGAATTAAAATTAAATTCGAAAAAATTAAAAAAAAATGATTTTTGCCATAAACTATGGGAAAACAAGTGTTCATTTATTAATAACCCATAATTTTCGACTCACACAAACTTGTCCACAACTATCTGTCATGTAAGTATATATGCGCGAGTATGCATATGAAACCATATTATTCTGAAGACTAATGCCCACAAAGGTTCATATGAACATTTTTGTAAAAATACGCATGAGAATTTACATTGAAAATTAAAAATAAAACCAGAAAAAAAGTGAAAAAAAAATAATTGTATATATATATATATATAATTTATGAGTATATAACACAATTACATTATATTATTTTCGGCCGAGCTCCTCCACCAATATGTGCAGGAAGACCAATAGTTTATGCTAAACCGCCTCGGCCGATTACTTTTACTTTTATGAGGAGCTTTTATGTCATGCCAAAAATATACTAGCAGCTACTAGACTTGACATTCGCTGCCAAGAGGCGACCGCAATCAGAAAAGCATAACAAAAATTTTATTATTTAAATAATTTTTGTACAATTTCTTATGCTCTTCGGGTTGGTGCTCGAACCTGCCATCTACCGCATGATAGCAGGTACTGCCAAGTATTGAGCTTTTGCCTTAGCCAAACGGTTCGGCGTCTACAAAGCGCTAATAATATATGTATGTACATATATACTAAGTAGTACCATTATTTGGTCACATACTGGTTGTAATCGTTTTGGGCTCAGCACGAGACGGCATGCCGACACTCATACCAATCAACCAACAACACCTACTCACTATACATAACAGTTGGGCAATTGAGCAGTTGGTTGTTTGCTTTTGTTGCTCATGAGGTTGTTTGTTGTGCAAATTAAATGAATTGTTTATAATGTGTCTTCTTTATTGACTAATGATATCATTCCGCTGTGTTAAGGAATCAATTTTCATGTACATATATACATATGTATGTATGTATACCTTCACTCAATCAAACAGTACCGCGATACCGCAGCGAATGTAAGTGAAACGAAAAATTCTATAGCGAAAATAAGTTAATCAATAGTTGACGACAAAAATGCGTAATTTGATGTACTTGTGGAGCTAATTAAATCTGGGATAGCTCAGCCTGGTCCAAATGAATGTACTTGTACATGGGTACATACTAACATATAAACCTATATAGATTTATATAAGGTTGTCAAATAATATATGCTTTATAAAAAGTGTTACAGTGATCGGATTAAGTTAAAATATGCGCCGTTTTGTTCGATGATCTGTTTCTATCTAGACGGCAATTTCATAATACCTTCCTCGTAAAAGCTCCCCTCCTTATTTGCGAAGAATTCGGACAGCCACTTTTCACAAGCCTCTTTTGAGTTCAACTTCACACCACCAAGGGCATTCGCCATGGACAGGAACAGGTGGTAATCACTTGGCGCTACGTCCGGGCTAT